CCCACGGTTCCCCTCTCCCCACTTGGCAGGGATACACCGCCAGGCTTGGGTATTTACTTTCATTCACCCAGGACCCCGGAAACTGAGCTGCAGTCTACCTGTAGCAGGTTAGGTGACCTGCGACTGAGGAGATCCATACCCTTTGTTGCCCAAGACCCCTCCACCAGTACCCGTGCCTGCCCGCCCACTTCTACAGCATGAGTATGCTCCCTGCAGTCCTGCCAGCACCACTCCCACTCCTGGCCAGCGTATGTCACTACAGCATGCCCCCAGCACTGGCAACTCTGAGCGCTCCCGCCTTACCACTCCAGCCCATCCTGCCAGTGCAGTCTCATGCACTGCTTCTGCCAACCTGCTCAGCACTCCAGGCCCACAGGGTGCTGGGGGTAGTGCACGCTTGATCTGAAGAGCATAAATTCCCCACACATAGCCTGGCTTCAGAGCCCTCAATCAGAACCACCTCCCGTGGCAGTGAGGCCTCCCCCACCCTTGCCTTCTATTAGGCATCTTTAAAGAATAAAATTAAAAAAAAATTTTTTTTAATTAAACAAGAAAAAAAGGCTGCTAAGCGTGGCCTGAAAGACCAGGTGAAAGCAGCCCAGGGGCATTCATACAGGCTCCAGCCCCCACTCCAGTCATTGAAACTCCTCTCCATGTTGGCCACTGAACCACCAATGAACTCTGCCTACACCACCAGCCGTCTGACCCACCTCTATAGTAGGTCACAGGCAACCCCTGAAAGCAGCCATATCAGTAATACAGAGAAAGATCTCAGGGCCCCCTGGTCTCCCAGAAACATGGGGCCTACAAAAGGGTCAAGGAAGCATCAACAGACCACATCACTGTCAACAACAAAAAACAGAGACAAAACACAGTAGCAGAGTTAACAACTCTCCTAGAAGAATCAGACCTGGATCTGCCATGGAAAGAAATCCTCAGAAGTCTGCTTGGAGTAATACAGGAGTTGAGGGAAGCAACGCAGAATAAGGATGCAATGATAGACGAGATGACGTCCCCAATAGAGGGGATGAAGCCCATGCACCAAAGGGAAATACAGGTGCTAACGTAGGAGGTAGCAGAAGCCACACACAAGGTTACAGAATTTACGATTAGACTTGAGGAGGCAGAGAACCCTATCAGTTATCTTGAAGACACTCAGACCTCACAAAACCAGAAAGATAGTCAGATAGGAAAATTGAAGAAGTGGAAGATAACCTGAGATCAATGACATGTTATGAAGAGGTATGATATTTGAATAATTGGTCTATCGGAGCAGGACACAACACACAAATTGACAGCTAAGATAGAGCAGGAATTTCTGGAAGCAAACTTTCCCACCTTAATGAATGAGAATCAGGCACTGATACAGGAAGCAGAGAGGATACAAACTAGATTAAACCCCAAGAAGAACTCACCAAGACATATAATAGTAAAAATATCCAACTTTGAGGAAAAAGAAAATTTTAAGAGCGGCAAGAGAAAGGAAGACAGTGCACCAAACCAGGAGGGCAACATAACACGTGGAGAAATGCATGAAAAGACTGGACAACAGGATCCGCCCCAATCAGAGCCAGCCTGACCCCTGCCCTAGAAGTGTGTGCAGCAGAAAACGACACTAGATCTTCAGGTGGAGGAAAGGATCCGACTTACTGTGCCCACATGGAAGCAAAGCAAGAAGGAAAAAGAGAAAGGGACAGTCGGCCTAGACTCCATGTAGGCACACCAGTCCTGGAGGATGAGGTCTCTGCACGGAGCTGCTAAGGCACAGAGAGGACGGTGGGACTGCCAACAACTCAAGACATGTCCCCTAACTGGAGCATACGGAGACAGGGGACAATAACAGGGACACACAGCAGGGAGACAGTGTGGAAATGGAGCATAACAGATCAGCAATTGGAGTTAGGCCGATCCACAGAGCCCCTGGGGAGCCCCAAGAATGGACTTCGGGCTAGGAGGTGCAGGCCCCGCCTCTCCCCCATACTGAGGCTGCAGACAGGCCCTGGGCCTCGGCTCATACCTTCCTTCAACTTTGTTCTAACAAATTGGCATTTTGTGATGCTCACCCCCACCCCCACCTACATGATTGCTGAAGACAAACTGGGTGCATAAATAGATGTGGTGAAGTCAGAGGATGGTGCCCGGCTATTAAAACATATTGTGTCTGGGGTCTTAAAGGCTTGAGATTAAACAAGCGGCCAACCAACAGTGAAGCAACAAGCCCCACCACAAGCCCTGGTGCGATCATGAGGTACATCGAGACCAGGCAAGGGGCATCAGAAGATTCACAACAAACAATTAACAAACAAACAAACAAAAATGCATTGGTGAGAATGGGGTGGTGGTAGCAGTTTGGAGGTGAGACCCAAAGCCCATCTGTGGACAATGGAACATCCCCCCACAGAGGGGCTGCAGGGAGGGGATGAGTCAATCAGGGTGCAGTAGAGTACCGATGGATCACACAATATACCTCTGATCCCTTGTGGCCTCCTCACCCCCCACTATCATGACCCCAGTGCCGCTTCCCACTCTGGACTAGACATGAGCGTGTACACAGGTATAGGCAAGAGATAAAGCTCACGACACATGGAACCCAGGAACAGGAATGGGAATAGCGATACCTAAAGGGTAGGGGGAATGGGGGGGGAGAGATGGGGAGGGGCAATGAATGACAGATAACCACACACCCCCATCCAGGGGGAAGAACAACAGAAACCAGAGGGGAAGGGAGACAGCTGTCGGTGTGAGATTTGAAAATAATTAACAATCAATAATCTATCAAGGGGCCACGGGGGTTGGGGAAGGGGGAGGAGGGAAAAAAAAAAAGAGGAGCTGATCCCAAGGACTCAATGGAAAGTAAATGTCTAGAAAAGAACGATGGAATATATGTACTAATATGTCAGATACAATTGATGTATGGATTGTAACAAGAGTTGTTAAGAGCTCCCAAGAAAATAAATAAATACAATCTCTATATGTTCGGGAGTAAGCTTTGCATTACAATAAAGACTAAGAAAAATGCCGAAGACGTGGGACGTGTACTAAAAGTTAACTAGAACATCAAAAGACAATCACAAGTGCTGATAATTAAGTCATTTTCCCACTGATTTCGAGAATCTTAAACAGACCTGTGTGTCTGTGCTTGGATTCCAGTCAGGATCATAGATGATGACTCTGTTTGCCCCTGTCAGGTTGACTCCTATGCCGCCCACTCGAGTGGTCAGAAGAAACACAAATATTGATGTGTCCTAGAGGTAATACGCAACACTCAGGACACACATTCAAGTCATGACAGCTTTTGGCCTCCATTTGTATATATGCTACACATATAAGGACTCGGTTATATCACAGAGCTCTTCAGTGACTTAAGATCCCAGGTCACTTTTAATGTCACTAATACTAGCAGTATTTTAAAATTGTGATTCAAAACTGGGGTATGCATTCTTTCTTAAATATGAAGCACATGCACACAGTCAGTAATTTAGAAAATTCAGAAATAGACAATTAAAAGCAAAAATTCCTTTTATAACCAGCTCAACTCCAGATATAAATATTGCTGTTTAGCATGAATACTCTCATTCCTTCTCTGCAATAAAAGAAAACAAATCAAAACACACGGCAACCCTATGTGTCAGAGCAGAACTGTGTTCCACAGGCTTTTAATGGTTGGTTTTTGGGGAAGTAGACTATAAGGTCTTTCTTCAAAGGCACCTCTCTATGGACGTCAACCCCAAATCCTTTGGTTAGCAACTCAATGAATTTTGCACAACCCACAGATTTTCTCTCTGTATTTAGTAAGTAACATTATTTGACATTATTGCTATATTTACTTATTACCTCATTGTATCTTGTAATTAATGGTTGTCTCGAAGCTATTGTAGTCATACCATCCATCTTGAGATAGGAATACTTTTGGGTTCTCAGAAATACTTCAAATATATGCAGCATCTATTTGGGGTGGGGTGGAAAGAACAGTTTAAAAATGCCATATACACGCCTAAAGAGTACCCTATATTTCTATCAACATAGTCACATCTTCCCCAGATAAGTTTCTATGACCAGAGTTTTCTTGCTTTGAGGCCGCTAAATATAGCTGGTTAAGAGTAAATTTATCTAATGTTAATTCTTAGAAATTTTGTAAACAGCCTGGCATTTATTTTATTTCAAGTCTAAACTCACCCCCACACAATCACCTGGTGAGTCTTAAGAAATCAACTTCTAGGTAGAGAAAGACGAGCTCCCAAGGAGACTGAAAGGCTGTCACTTATCCCAATTCAGAGTGGTAAGTAGTTAAGGGCCATTCCGTTGTTTCTACGAGACCTGTTCACTCACCTGTCTTGACTGAGAAAACAGCAACACTCGCTGGCCCTGCTTGTGCCAGATTTTCAACAAGGACTCAACAACGATCATTTTCCCAGAACGCTTCCAGTATCCAAACTGATCTTCCTGTAACTCATCATCAGGAAGAACTCCGGGATTCCTGGGGCCTCCAGAAAAGAGATCTGGGTGGTTGCATATTTTCCTTAGGGTTGTAAGTCCAGAGAAGATCTGTGGTATAAACAAGCATGTGCACTCAAGATTACTCCACAAAAAAGGATATTCAGTTAAGACAAGGGAGGGGAAAAAAAGGAGATGTTCCAAATTTATTCCAAATTACGGCATCTTAGGAGTTGGAAGAAATCAACCCTTATTCATTTTTTTTTTCCTGTTAGGGAAAGTTCTGTGAAAAAAATAACTCTATTGGGCCAAGTGTATTAATTTGGGTCATATTCAAATGCTGAAAAATTATTATTCTTCATTAGAAAAAAGGTACCATATATACTTGTGTATAAGCCAAGTTTTTCAGCACATTTTTGATGCAGTTTTTGTGGTAAAATTAGGTGCCTTGGCTGATATTTGAGTTAGCTTATACTTGAGTATGTACGGTATGTTGTTCATAGCATTATAAATTCAACATAAAGATGGATTCACCTTTCATAACAAGAATACCATAAAAATTTACATTTAGAGAAATTAGACATGTGACTAATCAAACACACATAATATTACATTGTAAGGTACTTCAATACAAATTCAGTAGCTTAGTATTTAATTTAGAAAATGAAGTTCCATTTACCTTTATATTTTATTATGTTACAAAAAATATATTTGCATGAAACATGCACTAGGGAAGAAGCAAAGGAAGACTTGAACAGCAAAAGGCACAGGGGACCAAGGTATGCTGCCTCTAACTCCTCTAACTTTACCCAGGGCTCTCTCACAGCTTTCAGAAGAGGATGCAACTCAAAGTAGGAAAAGCTAAATCACAAAATAAGGTCATCGTCAAAGGGTTTGGTAGTTTCAACTAGTAAATTACAGTTTAATGGATAAAAGATAAAGGATCAGAAAACCCAAGAGCACTGTCCAAATTCCCCACCAAGTGATCTATAGATTATTTTATCCTGTGCTGTTTTAATACTGTATCTACCAGCCACATAAAATTGAGATGCCCTATGAATGTAAAACACATAGCTACTTTCCGAGACTTAATATAATTATCTCTATATATTGGGCCTCCACTCAAGTACTCTCTCAATGCAAGAATAATTTCTTCTATTAAATTGGCATTCTATGATGCTCACCTTCCCAACACAACCACTGAAGACAAAGTGGGTGAATAAGCAAATGTGGTGAAGAAAGCTGATGGTGCTTGGCTATCAAAAGATAGGGCGCCTGGGGTCTAAAAGGCTTGAAGGTAAACAAGCGGCCATCTAGCTCAGAAGCAATAAAGCCCACATGGAAGCACACCAGCCTGTGTGATCAAGATGTGCCGAAGGGATCAGTTATCAGGCACAAAAGAACAAAAGTTCATATCATTGTGTGCTCACCTCCCTGATACGATTGCTGAAGACAAATGGGTGCATAAGCAAATGTGGCAAAGAAAGCTGATGGTGCACGGCTATCAAAAGATATAGTGTCTGGGGTCTTAAAGGCTTGAAGATAAATAAACAAGCGGCCATCTAGTTCAGAAGCAACAAAGCCCACATGGAAGAAGCACACCAGCCTGTGCGATCATGAGGTATCGAAGGGATCAGATATCAGGCATCATCAGAACAAAAAAATTATATCATAGTGAATGAGGGGGAAGTGCGGAGTGGAGACCCAAAGCCCATTTGTAGGCCACTGGATATCCCTTTACAGAAGGGTCTCGGGGAGGAGACGAGCCAGTAAGGGTGAGATGTAGCAAGGATGAAACATACAACTTTCCTCTAGTTCCTAAATGCTCCTCCCCCACCCCTACCCCACTATCATGATCCCAATTCTACTTTACAAATCTGGCTAGACCAGAGGATGTACACTGGTACAGATAGGAACTGGAAATGCAGGGAGTCCAGGGTGGATGATCCTTTCAGGACCAGTGGTGTGAGTAGCGATACTGGGAGGTTGGAGGGAGGGTGGGTTGGAAAGGGGGAACCGATTACAAGGATCTACATGTAATCTACTCCCTGGGGGACAGAAAAACAGGGAATTGGGAGATGTCGGACAGGGCAAGATATGACAAAATAATAATTTATAAATTATCAAGGGCTCATGGGGGGGGGGGAATGAGGAGCTGATGCCAGGGGCCTAGGTGGAGAGCAAATGTTTTGAGAATGATGAGGGCAATGAATGTGCAAATGTGCTTTACACAATTGATGTATGTGTGGATTGTGATAAGGGTTGTATGAGCCCCTAATAAAAAAATTTTAAAAATTATCTCTATATAGATATATGAGAGGGTACCCAAAAAGAAGTGGAATTTCCACCCCCAAAGCTATGTATTTAATTTTTTTTTTTTTAACAAAGCAACCTTAACACCTTCATAGTACTCTCCATTACACTTAATACATTTGTCAAATCTGAGATTCCATTCTTTGAAACATTTTTGAAACTCATTTGTTGGATGCCCTTGTTTTTATCTTCCTCTTACCTACGTTTTCAAATCACTGTCCTTTTATGTTCCTCTTCATTCGCAGAAACAAAAAGAAGTTGCACAGAGCAAAGTCAGGTGAGTATGGTGCACGGGGCAAGAGAGGCATGCCGTGTTTTGTCAAAAATGGTGCCGAGCTGGCTGCATGAGCATTGTCGTGGTGGCAGAACCAGTCCCCTGCCTGCCACAAATCAAGCCTTTTTTTGTTGCACACTGTTATGCTATCTTTTCAGAACCTCTAAATAGAAAGCTTGATTAACAGTTTGACCTGGTGGAACGAACTCCAAATGCACTACTAGTGGGCACTTTCGTCCATTTGTGAAGTTGATGGACGTCCAGAATGAGGTGTGGCATAAATCATTTCACCTTTTTTGAAATGAGAAAACCACTCGTACACTTGAGTTTTTTCCATAGCGCTGTCCTTGTAAGATGTGTTCAACACCACAACTGTTTCTACAGCGTTTTTCCTGAGCAGAAAACAAAATTTCACAGCTGCACACTGTTCTCTTAAATCAGCCATGACAAAAAAAAGGTTTGTGTAAAATGGCCTTTATGAAAAAAATTCATTGTGATGAGAACCTTCCCAGGCGGCACCACTGCGTGCACTAACTCAGAGCAAGTTGCTCGATGCTTATCTAGCGGTAAAAATACATACTACAAAAGCTCTGCCCAGTGGAGCTTTTGTCTGATTGGGGTGGTGGTGGTGGTGGTGGTTATATTTAATTTAGTGAATTTTTGTTTTGATGAAATAAACTTGTATTTTGAATCTATTGAGTTAAATAAAATATCAAAATCAAATTTACCTGTTTTACTTTCTACTGTTTTTCATGTGGCTACTACAAAACAAAAAAACTATCTGTGTGGCTTGCATCTGCATCCATTAGTGCTGACCTAGACTGATCACATATCAAACTCAAACAAAGCTCAGTGCCACTGAGTTGATTCCAAATCACAGTGACCCTACAGGGGAGCATAGAACTACTCCTTTGGGTTTCTGAGAAAGTAAATCTTTATGGAAGCAGACAGCCTCAGCTTTCTCCTATGGAGCAGCTGCTACGTTTAAACCTCAGACCTTGTGGTTAGCAGCTCAATGCATAGCCACAATACTCAGACTCATAAGGCTTCACAATTTGGAGGTACAGAAAGGGTATATGGGAATATTTAGCTATATGAACAGATACTAATGTTCTACCAATCTCCTAGAGATATCGAGATGAGGGACAAATTGGGAAATTATGAGAGATGGTTATTTAGGCTGATAAAAAAAGTATTTAGCTTCTACAGAAGACATATCATTCATGCATCTCTTTATCTACATAAAAGTATGGAATACAGAGACAGAGAACAAACTGCTCTGCTGTTCTACCTCCAACGACGTCAAATGATGTGGGTCAAAGGATCAAGACTAAAGAACATGTGAGGATGACTTAGAGAGCAAGACATGCAGCTTCTGACCAGTTATGGTCATGTGGCGCACAAGAGAGTTCATTCAAAATGGGTGATGTTGAGCAGGGCAAGAAAATGTTTGTTCAGAAGTTTGCCCAGTGCCATCCTGTGGAAGAGGGAGGCAAAACCACGACTGGGCCAAATCTGCATGGTGTCTGTGCAGAAGCCTGGTCAGGACCCTGGACTCACTTACAAGGGTGCCAATTAGAGCAGAGATATCACCTGAGGAGAGGACACACTGATGGGAGTATTTGGAGAATCCCCAGGACAAAATGATCTTCACTGCCATAAAGAAGGGAAAAAGGAAAGATCTGACATCTAATCTCAAGAAAGGTACACATGAGTAATAGTTGGCCACTGCCTTTTTAATTGTAAGATAGGGATGTCTTGTTTTCTTCCCTTGGTGGTGTTGTGGTTATGAGTTGGGCTGCTAACTGCAAGAATTACCAGCCACTCTACTCCCATGAAGAGTTACAGTCTGGAAAACTCACAAGGGCAGTTTTACTCTGTCTGATAGAGTGGCTGTCGGTCAGCATTGGCATTGACTCAAGAGCAGTGAGTTTGGTATCATATTTAAATTGATCTCATATACGAGAAATCAGATCATGATTGCCTGGTACAATATTCTGGTTGGACAGTTCTAAACTAAAAAAAAAAAGATTGGCTATGGTTAAATGACTTTGATCAAACTTTAAAATTTTTGATAGAAATTTCTGCCCATCATTGCTTTTCCCTAAAATATGATTGGACTTGAAGCTGGAGTGGATGAATAATGCTGAATTTTGCACAAAGATGGTGAATACCACATCACAACCTATAGACTGATTTTATATTTAGATGTGTATAACTGATTATATGAATATATTTGAATCCTGGGAAGTCTCTTTATTGCCTGATGGAACAGAGCCTGACTCACCTATTTCAATTTGTATTCGCAGCCTGTTTAAATGCAGGGTTGAAGATAAGGCAGCAAGGGCCACTTTGTCTTTTTGCTCTTGCTCATGTTAATTTAATTAAAATTTCCTGTCTTTATGTTCTGGTGGCACAGTGGTTATATGTCAGGCTGCTAACTTTAGGGGCAGCAGTTCAAAACCATCAGGTGCCCCACAGGAGAAAGATCGGACTTTCTAAAGATTCACAATCTCAGGATCCCACAGGGGCAGTTCTACTCTGCCCTACAGAGTCGCTATGAGTTGGAATCGATGGTGGCAGTGAGGAGAAAAAAAGACCATCTGCGGATGAACTTGTTGACCTAATAACTTATATTCGACAGACTAGATTCCTACAGCCAACTGTGACACTATCTCTGAAAGGCAATTCTGCTGAGATGACAGCAAGGAAAGCATGGCTGCATTGCCAACAGTCTCCTGGAGCTCTGACAAGTCTGACACAGCAGGTAAACAATGCTCAAAGAAATCGAATGATTCGCCTGAAGCTCTCTAGACTAAATGCTGATTATAGTAAACCTACTATGCTTATTGAACAGACATACATCCATGTGTACTGTTGAATACTGCCTACAGCTCAAATGTTTATTTACTTACAGAAGGTTTTACAAAAAGTATTCCTCCGTGTATTTGCTAAGCTAGAGTGCAGGGCTGCTTTCCTGGATTTTGTACAAGATCACCAGATCCTACAGGGCTCATCTTTACAGACCTAATTCTTTAGCACAGTTCTTCTACTACACCATGCAATGTGGGATTCTAGGGTAACAACCCTGCAATACAGATACAACGAGAAGATGCAGAAACTGAACTATGTGCTTCTTACTTCTGCAAGTGCTCAAATGAAGTTAGAGTTCTCATTGAAGGGTTCTAAAAGGGTAGTAAAGAATCCCTGACCTAGGGGCCAGCACATGCACCTGAATAAAAACAGTGCCTTGAGTTCCAGTATGAGATTGGCGTCCTTGGTACATTCCCACCAAGTCATTCTTATTTAGTGCTTTGAACAGTCTGGTTTGAGCAAGGTGTTCCAGAAAGCCAATTTTATGATGCCACATTATTATTTCTATAACGGCACTTTTCTGAGAGGTTGCTATCTACAACTTCTGAATTCTAGGCAAAAGAAAGAATGTTTTCTCAATAATGGGGACAATTAGAACTGGGGATCTTAGAACCAGAGATTACCATATATACTCGTGTATAAGCTGAGTTTTTCAGCACATTTTTAATGCAGTTTTTGTGGTAAAATGAAGTGCCCCGACTGATATTCGTGTCAGCTTATACTCAAGTATGTACGGTATATCTGGCTTCTAATATTACCATGGTTCAAGAACTTTTAATGGCATAGGAGTTCCTTTAAGAAGCTGATAAAAGAAAAAAAAGGTGATGAACGCTATAAACCTCTAGAATATAATATCCAACACCTACTCATCTACCAAGTAAGAGCTTTTGGCGTGACAGAAAAGGGAGGGGCTTTGTAGGCATACTAGAGTCAGAATTCGAGCTCCCTGGCTTATCCACCATGCAGCCAAGGACCAAGCTACTCAATATGTATCATGCAAAAACCACAGGAGATAATGGAGATATTACATGAAATGTCTGAAACATTCTGAATACTTAAAGGTTAGCTTCCTCTCCTCCTCACTTCCCTTTCTTCAGGTATGCCTGCTTCTGTTTTTAGCTGACCTGCATTTCTCCATTGAGAATCCTGTAAACTTCTTTGGAATCAATGAAAGTTTGGTAGACCTTATGCTGTTCATCTGTAAGACGGCAAAATAAAACCTATGAGGAAACAAAATGGAGAAGCTATGATTTCTAGCAACAGCAACAAAGAAATTTCAAATGGAATAATATAATTCAAACGCCAAGTTTCCTACTTAAAAAAAATAGTGCTTCCAGTTTCAACAATGTACCTCTTAGTAAAAAAAGAAACAAACTGGATTATGACGCAGCCTGAGGACCCTCCTCTCCTCAGTCCTCTGCTCCCTGCCATCTGACCATGGGCCTGAAACTCAAGAGTCAGCAGCTAGTCTTGTCAAAACACACACAGGAGAATCAGAATGAACGTGCTGTATACATGTGCTTGAAGAATGCTTTGTTACCTCCTGGATTTACTCACCTGTTCATTTTTATCTGGCAAAGAAAGGCTCATTTTGACATCCGACTTCATTCTCCGTAGTAAGTATGGATTTATGGTATCTCTTAAGACACATGCACACTTGTAGGCAGTTTTAACCTTTAATGAAGACAAGTGGGAGAATTGCTCTGTTTAATTAATGCAGTTATAGCTTACCTCCCAACTGATTCCACTCCTTTAAATAAATAAGCTGTTTTAAATGACAACAGTTGTAGAAAATTGGTTGGAAATGATTGGAAAAACAAGTATAAGTCCCATACATTGCAGTGGTAGTAGCTCACATTAGTATCATAGGGAAATAAATTTGTCACATGACCAAAATGTACAACAAAATACAAACTGGTAATCTGTGCCTCACATTCTTCTTCTTCTACCTTTTGCTTTAATTATTATCACAAAGTTAAACCCTAAAGATTTATTCGGTTTTTTATCACTCTCTAGGGGAAAAATGCTTTAAAATAAATTTTTTACTCCTGTATTCTCTAAATGCTACAAAGGAATTGCTAATATGCAAGACTGAAGATCAAAGTTAGGGGAAAGCACAGCAATGGGAGGCTATAAGCAGATTACTGCCCACAGGAGACTGATGATGATAAATTCAATAAAAGCCTGGTGATCCCCGAAATGAAAGGTCACATTGTCTTAAAATGGAGTGTATAGTTCTGTAATGGAGCACATGCACATGAGATGGGTATTAACTGTACAAAGACCCACAACCCAGAAAAACCACTCCCCCTGCAATTCACTTAAAAGTGAACAAAGAATTGAATAAATTATTGATACTTAAAAACAAAAAACCTAAACAGACTTACCAACTTAAGGAAATTACTATTTAATGGAACACAAAAAGGTTCAACCAAATTTTAAGAAAGCTGAAAAATTAATAACTGTAAAAGTTTAGCTAAAATATAGTAAAATTAATATTAAAAATTGAGGTAGTTAGTTTATTGTGCCAACCTAGCTGATAAACATATGTGGGATTAATTGAAGGGCGGAGAGATAAATGGCTTGGCGAGCCTTGCTTTTTTTGTCTCTTGCTCTTTGATCATCGGACCAGTGTGCGGATGCCTTTCTTATTCTTTGCCTCAATTTGCAAGCTACACTACCCGTGGGACACCTAACCCGTGGACTGTGTCGCTGTAATTTGAGGTTCCTTCAAGACCTGCTTTGCCACACCACTGGAATTTACATCTCTTGAGCTGGAGACTGTCAGACCCTGTCATCTGGCTGACCGCTGGTTACCTGCCTTGCTGTTTGCTGCCTGTGCCGGGATAGTGTGAATTGCTCGACAGAGGACTACCTGGCGGCCCTCAAGACTTGAAGGACTGCCAGTGTCTCACAACTATCTCACGGGAGTGAGTTGCACTGAGCCATTTGTACTGCTTTATAATTTAATTAACTATTGATTTCTTATGTTATCTATCTGTATAAATATATAAAAATTATTAGCATTCTGGTTTTGTTTCTCTAAAGAACCCTGTGTAACACAAAAATTAACATTTAAAAAATCTTAAAGACCACAATAACACCTCCTTTGAATTTGTAAAACATATGTATGTGTGTACGTGTACTCGTTGTGTGCAAGTATAAATATAAAATGCAGGTATAAGTATAAAATGCTTATTACCTGAAATAACAGTTAATAAGAAGTTCAACTTATTCACAACTTTTAGTTACATGTAATCTCTTAAATATGTCATTCAGACATGGATAAAAATTACTTCTAGGGTGAAGGGAGTCAGTGGACAGTATAAGATAAGAAATAAAAATAATTTCTAATTTATCTAGGGTTCACGAGGGTGGGAGGGAAGGGAAGGGAGGGAAAAAAGAGGAGCGGATATCAAAGGCTCAAGTAAATGAAAATGTTTTGAAAATGATGATGGCAACATATGTACAATGTGTTTGATAACAATTGATGTATGAATTGTTATAAGAGCTGTAAGAGCCAATTTAAAAAATTACTTCTAAATGATAAGGTAAATATTATGATTTGTAATGCAGAGAGGATTAAATATCAGAATTGTAAAATGTATTATTGTCTTACTAAAAATGATACACATTGTTTGAATTCTTTTTTTTTAATTAAAAAAAATCATTTTATTGGGGGCTCGTACAATTCTTATCACAATCCATACATACACCCATTGTGTCAAGCACATTTGTACATTTGTTGCCCTCATCATTCTCCAAACATTTGCTTTCTACTTGAGCCCTTAATATCAGCTCCTCATTTTCCCCCCTCCCTCCCCACTTGAATTCTTATTAAAAATATAAGTGTTAAAAAATGCTTTGAAAATGATATAAAATGATGTTTTGATATGAATCTCCATATACTATGAATTTCAGCCAACGTCTGTCTCCTCCAGAAGGAGTAAGCTGGTTAATGATGCCAGGTACAAGCTTGTGAGCATCACGGTCTCTCAGCTCTTGCTCTCTCGTGCATGCCCACCTCAGTGTAGAATTCCTCCTCCCTCTATTCCTCTGCTGGTGGACCAGGGCCCACAGTGGCTGGAGACTGGATGCTTTCCACACCTGACTCTCACTAAAGGAAGAGCTAAAGCTTTAGACTGGGGTTGGGATAGAGGAGCAGGGATGCGCAGAAATAGGAATATAATATGTGCTCCAATGGCTCATTTATCACCAGGCCCTTCTAAAGTGCCTCTTGGTAGACACTAACTGCCAACCTTTCAGTTAGCAGCCCAGCATTTTAATCATTTGCACTACCAACCAAACACTGCAGGAACAGAAGAGAAAGCCCTAGTTCAGCCTTAGCATCATGTCGACTCTCCAGCCCAGCAACCTCAAAGAATCCTGTGCATTGGACATAAAAGCTGATCCTGTATTTCCATGGTGGCATAGTGATTACAAGTTGGCCTGCTAACTACAAGGTCAGCAGTTCAAAACCACCAACCACTCCAAGGAAGAAAGGAGGCTTTCTATTCTTGTAGAGTTACACTCGTGGAAACTCACAGAGTCAGTTTTACTCTGGCCTATAGGGTTGCTATGAGTCAGATGTGACTCAATGGCAGTGAGGGTTTTTTGTCCCCCCCACCCCCATGTGGCTCTTGCATCTGTTTATTCTTTAAAAACATATAGTAGATGGACCAGCAATCCTTCTACCCAGCAATAAGAGCCATGGCACAAATATATTCACACCCATGCTCATGGAAGCACTATTCACAATGCAAGAAGATGGAAACAACCTAAACAGTCCAGCAGTGGAAGAACAATTAAAAAGACTTTGGAATATATGCACAAAGAAAGATTACATAACTTTAAAGAATTGAGATGAATCTACGAACCACTTCATAACATGAATAAATCTGGAGATTATTAGGCTGAGTGAAATTAAGGAATCACAAATAAACAAATACTGAATGAGACCATTACTGTAAAAAGTGAAGAAAAGGTTTTCATATTAAAAAGAACATTCTTTGATGGTTAGCTGGGGTACGAGAAGAAGGGGGCGGGTGGGGAGATTACTGGCTACAGATAGACATTTGCTAACTTAGGTAAAGGGGAAAGTAATGTACTATGAGATAGAGGCTGATAAAAAAGTTTGCAAGAGTGAAGGGCAACAGAAGCAAATACTGTTAAACATCATCCTGCAACAGACATGGAGACTGAAGAGGCATGGGAAGGAGAGTAGGAGTCAACCCATGAAAAATAGGATTTAACAGAGGACATTTATATACATGTATTTGCTGCAAATATCTGTGAATATGGTGGCAAAGTTATGAAAACTTCTTAGACATAACCAAACACTTTTGGGAATGAGTTACTGGGCCTGGGAGACCATGCACCAAGTTAACTGGCATAGCATAAACTTCACAATGTTCTACCCTCTACTTTGGTGAGTAGCAATTGCAGTCTTACAAGTTCATAAGCAGCCATCTAAGGTGCAATGATTTTTTTCTCCTCATCCAGAGAAAAAAACAATGGAAATTGAAATACATAATGAAAGCAATTAGTCCCATGGCCTAATGGGCCTTGGCAAACAGTCTCCACACCTGGATACCAGAAGAACTAGACGATGCCCGCTATTACAGCCAACATCTCTGAAAGGGATCTTACTAAAGATCCAGAATAAAGTGGAAGCAAAAGGAGGAACAGAACTCAAAAAACATAAAAGAGACCAGCCTTACTGGTCAGATAGACAGTGTTGTGATCCTCAAACTTAAGGCTCTTTGGCTCCACTCTGGTCTAGAGTAGATCTCACACCCATGTTAGAATAATCAATCATTTAAGATCAAGCGGGCATTATTTATTTAAGGACAAAGTTCAAAAGGTTAGGAAAGGCGGAATGGAAACAGGAAACAAAGGAAGTAGGTGGAAAAAGCAATGAATGAGTTGAAACAAAATGACTAAATTGTGGGTTTAAAATTGATCCTCTGATCTGTAAACATTCACCCAATTCACAATAAGAAAGTTGTCTAATAAAAAAACACACACAACACAACACAACACATGGTGGGCAATACAACTGTCTAAGGGGTTTCAAAAGTTTGTGAAAATGGATTTAAGAGGTAGAATTTTTCCATGAATATCTTGAAGCCCCTTATATATGTTACATTCATTCCTAACTGCCTCCCACCACCCCATCTCCCCTTCCATGGAACACATACCTAGATGAGTATATCGCAAACCACCAGAGTACTCAAATGACACCTGCAATCATTAACACGTTAATGAGGTCTTGGGCAGACTTGTTGAGTGCAATACACAATTTTATTTTCTGAATGCTGCTTTCATGAGATAAGGCCACTCTTGAAAAGGAACTTCAGAAAAGAAAAAGATCACATATGCACGATCTCCAATTATCTCTCAACAATTTACCATATATACTCCTGTATAAACCAAGTTTTTCAGCACATTTTTCATGCAGTTTTGCGGTAAAATTAGGTGTCTTGGCTGATATTTGGGTTGGCTTATACTCGAGTATATATGGTACTTACTAGTTCCAAAAGAAAAATGGTTTTAACTTTACAGCTTAGAAATATGGCAAACAGCACCTTATCCAAGTAAATCGGAGTTAAACGTCACCAACATAGGCAAACACTGACAGCATGTGCCTCTGTCAAAGTCCTGCCAAAAGTACATCATCTGAATCTAATAATAAACACAAGACAAACTCAAAGGGAGGTACTTTCTACAAAACAAATGACATATTCTTCAAGTGGAGCCCTGGTAGTATAGTGGGTTATGCACTGCGCTGCTAACCACAAGGCGAGCAGTTAGAAACCACCAGCTGCATGATGCTCTCTACTTCCATAGAGGTCCAGTTTCAGAAACCCACAGTGGTACTCCTACACTGTCCTACAGGGCTGCTATGAATCAGAATTGAGAGCAGTGAGTTTGGTTTTTGGGGTACAGTCTTAAAAAATGTTAAGGTCTTGAGAGGCAAAAATCAAAACCACTCTTTAACCATTCTTGATTAAAGGAGACTAAAGAAACATGGAAACTACCAGAACTGACAAAATCTGAATGAATAAAGATTAGATAATAGAATTATATCAACGCTAAATTTAATTATTAATATGATTATATGGTATATATGGTACTTACTAATACCAAAAAATCCTTGTTCTTAGGATATACCCACTAAAGCACTTTTAAGAATAAGGGCATGCTTTCTATAACTTTCAAATGAACCATAGAATAAAAATCTCATTAATTTGTATACACAGAGAGAGAGGTAGAAGAGAAGAATGATAAAGCAAATGAGGCAAAATGGTAACAACTGAGTATAAAGGTGTTCTCTTTGTAATCCTTGTAAGTGTCCTATAAGTTTGAAATTAGTTTTAGAAGTTAAAAAAAAAGTTACATATCAAGGACAATAGGGACTAACAGAATGATGAAAGAACCCTTACCCACAGTTAATTAAAAATCATTCAATCTCAAAATGGAAATGGTAGAAAAGTAGTTGTTATTTAAAAAAAAAAAAAGGTCTAAAATCCTTTTTCTAGTTCAAATTCAAAACATTGGGAACTCTTTGTAGGTAAAAGGTTTCTTTCTCATCAGGTTCAACAATAACCTGTCTGGTTGATAGAGCTTCACAGAGACCTCACCCTCACTAGAAAACCAAGATTTGTGTGATTAGCTTTATTATAATGGTCTGGAACCAAAATCATAGTATCTCTGAGGTATATCAGTGCACATCCTTTGTTAGTATCGTAACATCAATTTAAAGAGAAAAGGTCTAAAACTGTCCTCAAGTTGGCGTCACTGACGATGCTGCTGCCGGTGCAACACCATTTTACCAGTCAGTCAAACCTAAAATGCCCGGCCCTGCTGCAGTAGCCTCCCATACCCCTAATTGTACTTTATGAGTTTCTACATCTCAATTGTTATACCTAAAAACATGCCACCTGGGCCTCTTGTTCATCATCTTCTTTCTCAAGACCAGCCCTTATCACACTTCACCCCCTCTCATCAATTCTTTCAATGTCAACCTCCATTCTGTAAGTGTTCATTCCCAACCTGGTGTTCCAAACCCTTCAGTGACTCCTCCTTGCCCAAGATCTCACCCCCACCCCCCGCCCTTCCAAGGCCCCTCTATACCTTACCCACTGCTCTCCCACAAGCATCTCCAATTTTTACTGTTCATGACTACACAACATGGATTCCCTTTATCATATTCTTCCCTTATTCAGAATGCCCTCTTTACTCTTGGCTTACTTTCCCAGAATCAGGTCAGGGAATGCATAGCTCATAAATCTTCCTAGAATAATCCAGTCCTTCCTGCTGTCTTGCTTTCTAAACTTCAACAATGCTTTATAAGATGCATTATCCCAATTTGCAGTAAGTTAGATACTGCCCAGAACAGATTGATCCATAATTTCTGACTGCTCTAGAAATAATCAAAGAAAACCATTTAATTCTATTTTGTAAGAAGTTTTCTAAGTGGACGTCTTTCATAATTGAACAAAAAGAAAACTCATTAGAAAAAAAAGTATGCTCTATTAAGCAAAAGCTACTTTGTGATTTTATCAAACACCAAACTTGATCATTTCCCCTATCTCCTGAATGACTTAGCTACAGTTATTTAGGAGTAAGAGTTTAAATATTAAGATGTCAAAAATGTTACCTGCTCAGTAGTTACCTGTACTGGGGAAGCGTTTGAATATCCCCCCATGGTGATGGGAACAGAGAACTGCTCCATAAATACCGGCAACGTTCCTAACTTTCCCGGGAAGACAAAGTCGAAGAGGGACCATAGCTCTCGGAGGTTATTCTGCATTGGTGAGCCTGACAAGATGATGCGATGTGGAGTGCGAAACTATTTGGTGAAAGACAATACCTTAACATAATTAACGTTTTAGCAGAAGCTGATCAACCCTGTTCCAAACACTCCCGCCCACTATTATTGAACACATTAGTATCATTTTAGTTCTTAAATCTTATGCTTGCTGCTCTCCAAAATATCAAGAAAAATTATGCAGCTATAATTCTTCAATTACATATAGGTGGAAAATACAGGGGGAAAGGTTTTCTTAATGCCAAAGGTGAATAATAAGGATTAGGTTAGATTTGGTAATATTCTAATAACTGCTCCCCTCCAAAAAACACATTAAGTATGGTGAACAATTAGAATAGGGGGAAGGAGGGGATGAGGAAAGGCAGTAATAAATTTTTTTTTGACATTATGGCAAAAATGTATGTTTCAATTTCTTATGCAATGGTACAAGATTCAATAAATGTGTTTGTAAAATCTTATTAAGCAGACCAGTTGACTTTGATTCAAATACTGTTATCCACCTGGAAATACCACTTCTTATAAAAATAGGCCATACCTGTTTGCAAGCAAGGGTTATAGCAGCATTTGGATTTCGAATTTTGTGTCCTTCATCTAAGATCACATAATGCCAGTCATGCCTGCTAATATTATCTTGCATCAGTCGAATGTAAGAATAAGAAGTGATCAAAATTCCATGATAATGAGCAATATCTCCAATTAGTTTCTCCTAAAACCAGAAGATGGTAAATTGAATTTTAAATGAAAAGTTAAATTGAGCAAAACTCTTAAAATAACTTTATAATACTATCTAAACATTTTATAAATATGTACAATGCATCTTAACTATACAGTATAACACAGGGAGTTTACACTTAGTTAATTTTCAAAGTTAACACTGATTAATATATCCACTGATGTAACTTCTTGTCACGTGCCACACTAAATCAGCTCTGAAACATAGGTGGCACTATATACATTAAGAAGGACACTATATAGAAAGAAGGACACACTGCCAGGGCTTCTGCCATCATCACAATTATCGCTGTCTTTGGGCCCATTGTTACAGCCACCGTGTCAATCCATCTTATAGAGGGTGGAACTCCTGCTTTCCTGACCCTCTAACTCTGAAGAGGTCTTTTGTACTATCTGTAGTACACTTGCCCAATGCAATATGATGTCTGCTTTCACGACTGCTGCTTTCGTGAGCTTCGATTGTGGATCCAAGTAAAAAAAAATCCTTGACAACGTTAATCTTTCTTCCATTTATCATGATGTCAACGATCCAGTTGTGAGGATTTTTGTTTGCTGTCTATTGAGCTGTAATCAATATTGAAAGTTGTAAGCTTTGATATTCATCAGTCTTCATATCCTCTTTGCTTCTGGCATGCAAGGTTGTGTCCATTCTGATATCTCATTCTTCTTCACATAGTACAGCTTCTTTTTTTTGGTGTGTGTGGGTTTTCCGGAAAAGAAACAGAAAACCTGCTAGACAAATTCTAAAAGAGCTGTAATACTAGCACAGCTTCTTGAATGAGTTATTCAGCATACATATTAATAAATAAGGTGAAAGGATACACCACCAACACCCACCTTTCCTGATTTTAAACCATGCAGCATCCCTTTGTTCTGTTGACTGCCTCTTAGTCTTTGTACAATTAAGTGGTCTGAAATTCCCATTCTTTTCTATGTTATCAGGAGTTTATCTTGAACACTTTTGCATAGTCAACATTTTTCTGGTACTCTCTACTTTCAGGAATGATATCCTTCATTTCACGCCTTTTTCTCACTACAGCTTGGATTTCTGATAGCTCTGTTGATCTACTGATACAACCATTTTTCATTTTTTTAAAAAATGCTACTTTTGTGTGGTATTATTCAATAATTTTCACATTCTGTTGGGTCACCTTTGTTTGAAATAGGCACAAATCTGGATCTCTTCCAGACAGTTGGCTACATAGCTATTTTCTAAATTTCTTAGCACTGACTAGAATAAGCACATTCAGCATTGCATCAGTTTGTTGAAACATTTCAATAGGTACTCAATCCATTCCTGGAACCTTGCTTTCTGCCATTGCTTTCAGTACAGGTTGGACTTCTTCAAATAACATGGTTCTTCATCATGAGCTGTCTCCTGAAATGGTTGTGTGTTGATCCATTATTTTTCCTCCAGTGGCTGTGCATTCTTGCCATCTTCTTTTGATGCTTCTTATGTCATTCAATAATTTACTCATAGAAGACTTCAATATTGTATAGCCCGAGTCTTACACATCATTCAATAATTTACTCATAGAAGACTTCAATATTGTATAGCCCGAGTCTTACACATCATTCAATAATTTACTCATAGAATACTTCAATATTGTAGTCCGAGTCATATTTTTTCAGCAATTCTTCCAGCTTGAGAAATACCATATTCTTCCTTTTTGCCTTCCAATTCCAGGTCTTTGCATGATTCATTATATTTTACCCTGTCTGCTATAGCTGTCTTTAAATTTTTTCTAATGAGCTCTTTTACTTTATCACTGTTTTCCATTTGCAATAGTTACTTCAAGTTCAAGAGCAAGTTTCAGAATTTCTTCTGGCATCCAGTTTGGTTCTTTCTTTCTTTTGTTCTTTTATACCATACAGCAAAAATGACTTATCATACAATCTGTTGACAGCACTCATTGAATTAGAAATAGAGTTATGATACAATTTACATACTTTCAAGTACAGTAAATCAAAATTTAAACTCACTGCCATTGACAATTCCAATTCATAGTGACCCTATTAGACAGGGGTAGAACTGCACTTTAGGTTCCTGAGACTGTAAATCTTTTTTTCCCCCCAAGTTTTATTGGCATATGATTCATATATCATATAATTCAATGCTTCAATCACATAGAGGAGAGTTGTACCAGCACCACTACAATTAAAGTGAAACAATTCTCAGAGTGCCTGGTAGAAACACAAAAAAGACACACACCTAAGCATATTTTACTTAATTATATGAATAATAAATCATACAGAAAAATAAAGAGAAAATGCCATAGCATCTAGTCAGTATAAAATAGGAAGGGCAAAAGCAATGACAAAGATTCTCTGTTTAAAAAAAAAAAAAAAGAATCGACCTGTATTGGGCATTTTTTTTATAACACTGAAGACGTCAGAAGACAAAGGGAATATGCTGTGGCTTAAACTGTGTTAACCAAACATGTGTTACAAATCCTAACTTCTGGTGGTACATGGCATTACAAGTTGGGTTGCTAACCACATGGCCAGTAGTTTGAAACCACCAGCTGTTCTGCAGGAGAGAGATAAGGCTTTCTACTCCTGTAAAGAGTTACAATGTCAGGCTCACTGCTCCTCCTCGCACAACAGGTTGCCTCATCTTCCCGTTCCCCTGTAGTACCAGCCCCATCCCTGGATGCTGGAGCAAAGTTGGAGTAAATAGATTTGGGCTCATTAGGTGCCTAGTCACCAGGACTGCTTTCAACTCTGACAAAGTGACATTGTTGCCATCAACAACCCCTTCATTGACATGAACTACATGGTCTACATGTTCCCGTATGAGTCCACCGATGGCAAATTCACTGGCATCGTCAAAGCTGAGAATGGGAAGTTCATTATCAATGGAAAATCCATCCCCATATTGCAGAAGTGAGATCCCACCAACATCAAGTGTGGTGAGGCTATTGCCGAGTATGCCATACAGTCCACTGGTGTCTTCACAACCATAGAGAAGGCTTAAAGAGTGACACACACTCTTCCACCTTTGATGCTGGGGCTGGCATTGCCCTCAATGACCACTTTGTGAAGCTCATTTCCTGGTATGACAATGAATTTGGCTACAGTAATAGAGTGGTGGACCTTACGGTCCAAGGAGTAAGAGCTCCACTGGACCACCAACCCCTGCAACAGCATAAGAAGAACAGAGAAGCCCTCAGCTGCTGGGGAGTCTTTGCCCTCAAATTGATCCCCCAACACATTGAGGACATGCCTTCATCTTGAGTTTCCATCCAGACCCCCTGAAGGAAGGGGAGGGGCTTAGAGAGCCCAACCTTGCTATGTAACATCAATAAAGTACACTATACCCGGCCTCAAAACAAAAACAAAAAACAATGAGTTACAGTCTCAGAAAGCCACATGAGAAAGCAGTTCTACTCTGTCCTATGAGGGCTGTAAGTCATAAATGACACAATGGCATGGAGTCTGGTTCTGGAACTTTCCTGACCATTCCTGGTCTGAGCCCTGGCACAATTGCATGTGTAAAGTCTGGGGGAGGGGCCCAGGTTGCCTCACCAGAGTGAGTTTGGATTTTTAGTTTACTGCCTGTGGTTATAATTTAAGCACAGGTTTTTTGTTATGTTAATGAGACACAATTAGTGTAGGTTCTGTCTTAAGTCAATCTTTTACATATATAAAAAGAATAGACTAGGCCAAGCAGAGATAGGAAAAGACTGATTTTAAGTTACAAGAAGCTGAAGAGATAAAGATCTTGCCCCAGGACTGGCATCCTGGATTTAGCTTTCGGGCCTCCTAAACTATGAGAAAGTAAATTTGCTTGTTAGAGCCATCCACTTATGGAATTTGTTACAACTGTACTAGAAAACAAAGACAGAATAGCTTTACACAATTTTTAAGTGGTGAGGGGAATGGAATGGTAACCTTGGTATTCTATATTTAACCAAATGAGCCATTATACTTGATAGAAATATACATTTCATGTTCAGACATACCAGGGCTCAGAAAGCAATTACCTTGATAGCTCAAACAGGTAACATTCTTGGCTGCTAACTGGAGGTTCACGTCCACCCAGAGATCCCTTAGAAGATCTCCCCTGCCGCCCCCGACCCAAAAGAAGGGGAGCATTGAAAACCCTATGGAGTGCAATTCTACCTTATGGGGTTTGCCAAGAGTTGGAATCCCTGGATGATTATATCTAAAGAATGGAATATAGCAGTCATTAAAAGAACAAGACAGCTTTTTATCAACTTTAGAAGCTTTTTACTGGCTGAAAAGGAAGACGTTCACAATATGCTGCTAGTTGGAAATGGCATTCTGTAGAACAACACAAACAGTAGTTGTTCATAACCTTGAGTATTCTGCTGGTAGTCCCAAACTAATGATGCATTTTAGTTATGACAAGACACACTTACTAGTTTGGGGGAGTACTTTTTGTAGTTAGTAATGGAGCCGTAGTATCACAGTGGTTATCTGTTCAGTAGATAGTGAAAAAGGCTGAGAGTTCAAACCCACCAGTCACTCAAGGGAAAAAGACATGGCCGCCTACTTCCATAAAAGTTTAAAGCCTTGAAAATCTTATGGCACGGTTCTGCTGTCTAATGGGGTCACTCTGAGTCAGAATTAACTTGAGGGCAATTGATAGAGATTATTAGTAAAA